AAAATACACTAAACATGTTAAGACAACTATTACATAATTAAATAAATATAATCACAAATTACAACAAATACATAGCATTAAACATTTTCATTTAAATAAAAAATGAAAACTCTCATAGAATAAACACAAACCAACAAAAGTGCAATGAGAAATTATTTATCTCATAGTAACTCATTCATTTGCAATTCATATAGTTTTCTTTGTGATTATGTCTTTGTTGTTGGATCCATAGTCAACAATTTGACTATCAGCTTATCTTTTCGATGTTGTTCTTTTGACTTCAAATCAACCTCCATACTGATGGAAAATTGCTTCATCACTTGTACCTTTTCCATTTTAATTTATGTTTGTCGTTGCAATAACTTCATGTTTTTTGATGATTCAGATGACATAGATTTTTTTACATTATCTTTGGATGCTTTTCTTCCCGGGTGATGAGGATGAGACACGTTCTCTGACCACTTACATTTATCTTTACAACTAGTTTCATATCCTTACCATTTTTATTGTGACGTATGTTTTCATGTCAGCTGGATTTTTTCGCATAGATATTTTCTATAAAAACTGGATCATTCAACTTATATAATTAAGATGTATACTAATGGTCAACAATATATGTGCGTATGAGAAAACGTCGATGCCACTCTACATGCCTTACTGCCTACCGTAGTTGCCTTAGCCTACCCTGTGATACTTTGGAAGAACGCTAAATAGGGAAACAAAAACATATTTCTAGTTGCGAACCTTTTCATCTTCCTAGGTGTAGTGTTTCTCCAACACTCTTCTCCTTATATGTGGTTCCAAGTTACCAGCAACTTACTTCTCGGGCCTGGCATTGGATTTTTATATCATGTTAGTTGATATTATGCTACCGCTTATAATATTATTAGTGTGTGATAAAAACTTGTCCTAAAAAAGAAAGTATTAATTTTAGCATCATAAATCTTTCATATGTTACTTTTTCCTTAATAATTAGTTATAACATATGCTCGTTATTTTGTGTAGGCAACACTAAGTATACTATCAGAATTGGCATTCCTAAACTTACGCACAAGATTAAACCCCACATTGAGTTGCTCCATTACCCTTGGTTGCACTATGGAAGCAGGATCAACTGGTGTACATCCTCAATGGAAGAGGGGTGGACAACCCGGACTTTGTATTACTTATCCCGACCTTTCTTTATTGTTTTATTTTAGTGCATTTTTCATAGAAAGGTCACCATAATGGTTAATTGAGCAAAAAGAAGAAATATAGTTGAGATAAAAATGTGGAAAGTAAGAGGTACAGTTGACGTAGAGTACGTGTGGGATAGTATTAGAAAGCTGGCCAAACAAAAAAGCCTTGGAGTGATATTTTTGGGTTCATGAGTCTCCCAGCATTAGTCATTTCTATTCCCTTTTTCATATGTTACTTTTTCCTTAATAATTAGTTATAACATATGCTCGTTATTTTGTGTAGGCAACACGAAGTCTACTATCAGAATTGACATTCCAAAACTTACGCACAAAATTGAAATCCACAATTGACTGCTCCATTACCCTTGGTTGCACTATGAAAGCAGACATCAAATGATGTACATCCTCAATAGATGAGGGGTGAACAACCCCGTACTTTGTATTGCTTATCATGACCTTGCTTTTGTTTTGTTTTAGTGATTTTTCATAGGAAGGTCGCCATAATGGTTGATTGAGCGAAATAAAGAAGAAATAGTCGAAATAAAAATGCAGAAAATAAGAGGCATAGTAGATGTAAAGTACGTGTTCGATAGTATTAGAAAGCTGGTCAAACAAAAAAGACTTGGAGGGATATTTTTGGGTTCATGAGTCTCGCAGCATTGGTGGTAACATGGTCAAACAAAAAATGCAAACTACTCCAATAACTGTGATTATTGTTGCCATATATGTGATAACATGGACTATTTTCCAACAACAGAGAAGAAAATATGAGTACTACAAAGAGTACCAAGTGTATGTGAGCAACTACATTTCCGGTATGTACATCATTTGTAGAACGGTGCCATTTGGACCAGTTGGAGCACTAAAAGTGTCATTTCCGAAGAGAACAAACAATGTTGCAAAAATGTTAGGGATTTTAGTATTTTTATCTTCTAACTTTGATGTGTCGTTTTACTTCATTAGACTTCTCTATTTTGTATTTGTAGTTTATTCGCGCGGGGGGGGGGGGGGGGGGGGGGGACCTACTCTTACTATTCTTTATTTGGTATTTTGTGCCTGAGACACTGAAGGCACAACTGTGTAGTGTTGGCAATGTTTATATTTGAATATTCAAGTGTGAAGGCTAATACCTACGTACGGAGGTAAGTGTGTGCATATGTTTTTGGATCTCTTTATTTTATAAGCTTGCAAACCTTCCTTTATTTAACTCCATCATTATTTTCTTATTCCCCTTGTCAAACTAATTTATTTAACTCAACACAATTTAAGGGCATTCTAGTTTTTATTCAATATTCGTGTCATACTTTTTTATACTAAAGTTATGACCATTGGCTATAATCATGTTATATAACCATCTTACATAAACTAATAAGGTCCGTATATCTCAAGCTTCCTAAATCCTCGCTCAAGTTAGTCCTCCAAAGTCAAGATTTGTCTTAAACCATAGCCCAATATTGGTAGTTGTGCTCTTGGGAATTTATTAGAGAGAGACGTGGAGAATCAATAACCAATTAATTTCAAATCGATCATTAATTAGTAGCAAGAATGTCGATTGGAGGTAGAGAGGAGGAAGAAGGAGGTTTTGGGCAAAGGAAGATGCACAATACCATTTTTATTGTGACATATGTTTTCATGTCAACTATTATTGTGCGTCTGAGAGCATGTGGATGCTATTCTACGTGGCTTCACTGCCGACCATAGTTGCCTTAGCCTACATCATAACACTTTGGAGCAGTACTAAAGGGGGGATAGCTTTTTGGTTGTAAACAATTGTTCTATATGTTCCTCTTCTTAGATTTAGTGTTTCTCCAACACTCTCCCTCTAATATGTGGTTCCAAGTTATGAGCAACTTACTGCTAGGGCCTGACATTATATTTTTACATTAGGTTAGTCGATATTATGCTACTTGCCTTTTATATGAATAGTGTGTGATAAAAACTTATACTATAAAAGAAATCATTAATTATAGCTTACACAATTGCTCTATATGTTACTTTTCCTTAATAATTAGTTGTAACATATGCTCTTTATTTTGTGTAGACAACACCAAATCTGCTATTGGAACTAGCCTCCCACATTCCTTCATCATCATATCCAAAAATATTTCTATATATGTGACGCATTATAAGAGCCAAAATGTATCAAAGCCAAGAACAATACAAACATATGTATCGCACTAGAGTAGTGTTGGAGCATGATTAGAAGATAGGGGCTAACATTAGAGGAAGAGATAGTGGCTATATGTAGCTATTTTTAAAAGCCAAGATGATTTACCTATTGCGCCGTATATAAAGAGACTTGGCAAATAAAATGTGTAGTGATAAAACCTAAATAATGCGTTTTTCATTTCTTTAATGCTACATGTTAACATGATTAAGCATTATTGCATCCTAAACTGTTGCATTTTAGTATATGATCACTTCATATTCATCATGGACAACTTATGATCTTTGAATGCGAGTGTTCATGTGATATCAAGTCAAATTGGGCATGAGTGTAGGGTGTTAACTAAAATCCATAGATTACAGTAGCATGCAGAAGACCGCAATCATGATTCCAACCCATTATCTGAGTTCATGGGAAGGAGAAAAAGATCATGGTTGTGTTATCGACACTCAGGTTGTAATTCTTAATCAAAATAGCCAATGAGAAACATAAGGTCTCACGATCTGATAGCGAGCGAGTGCCCGACCATGATTTCAAGATCACGGCCAAATAGTTAAAAGTTGTGGTCTGGAACATCAAACACAAGAGTTAACCTATTAATTAATATGAATAATCAAGAATTAACATCAATTGAGAGCTTCATAATAAACCAACATTAGAGAATACTTAAAATTTATCCTAAAGAATTGAGATTTGGTAATTGTAATTAGAGAACTAAGATAGTTGAGTTAGATAGTAGCATGGAATTCTCAAATTTCCTAGGGGGGAGCTCAATTCCGAGAATGTTTTCTCTCAACGTGAACAACTTTGACTACTTGGAACTAACTGGAACATAAACCACGAACTTTCATTTGAACATAAGCTGCATTTTTTATGCAATACAACTAAAGAGACCCTTGCGAATATGACCTCATAGAGTCTCGTTCTCTAAGTTACTTTTGATACTACTTTTTCAGGATACCACAAATAAAGATTCCTTTTAAGAGATAAAAGAGGTTGCATGAATTGATAGGGCTAGTGCATTCTAATAAACCGAAGCTTGTATTCCTTTTAGAGACAAGATCGAGCCCTTTGTTGATGTTCTTACTGTATCCGGCGGTCTCGTTGTAGCTTGGTCCCTCGGAGTTGATGCTTCAGTGTTTTTTCATTCCAACTTTTCGATTTGTGTTCAAATTAATGAAGACGATTTTTCGCATTTGGGGAATGCGTCACTTGGTAGAGAGCAAAGGCACACATTGCCATAGAATCTTATCAAACTCTTTTCGCCTCGGAGAACCAAGTGCTTAACATGAAAGCTCGGGATGTTGATCTTGCGATCCCCCATAAAGTAACAAATGAAATGAATGCAAGCCTTATGGTAGAACTTCTTCCTAGTGAATTTCGTAAAACGGTATAATTTATAGAATCTAAGCAGGCACCGAGGTCTGATGGTTTTACTGTGAAGTTCTTGAAATATTTTTGGGACATTGTAGGAGAGTCAGTGGTTGAAGCTGTCTGTTTTTTCTTTAAAATGAGTAGGATTTTACGCAGCTTAAATCACACTTGGCTGACATTGATCCCTAAAGCTGATAATGTGGAGAGCATGAGACAGATTAGGCTTATAATTTTATGCCAATTTGTGTATACAGTTATAGCCAAAATCATGTCCGACAAACTTGCCCAATTCTTACCACGAATCATTTCGGAGGGGTAAAATGATTTCATCCAAGAACGACAAATAGTGGAGAATATCATATTAGGACACGAGCTAATGCATTATTTGAAAATCAAAACCCGAGGTAAGAAGGGGTACATGGCTTTAAAGGTTGACATGAAAAATGCCTATGATAGAGTCGAGTGGTCACTTCTCCTTGCAGTTTTGGAAAAGATGGGGTTTTACCCTACTTGGAGATACTGGATCCCGGAATGCCGTAGCTCGTCGTCATTTTCAGTCTTTATGAATGGTACTTCGTATGGGTTTTTCAAACCCTCGAGAGGTCTCCATCAAGGAGACCCCTTGTCCCCTCTGTTGTTCGTCATATGCACAGAAGGGTTTGCGGCTCTCATTAGAAAGGCCATTTCAGAAGGGAAGTTAGAAGAGATAAAGTTTCCCCCCGTGCTCCTCGAATCTCTCACCTGTTTTCTGCCGACGACTCTTACTTATTCCTCAGGGGTTCTGTACAACAATGTGAGAACCTAATTGAGGTTTTAAATGAGTATGAGGAGTTCAGTGGCCAACGGGTTAACTTGAAAAAATTGGTTGTTTGCTTTAGCAAGAATATATCCCTCTCGAACCAAGATTTGCTAGCTCAGGGTCCAAGATAAATATCTAGGGTTGCCCACTCTCATAGTCTAGTCTAAAATGGCCACCTTTCGTTTTCTAGAAGAAAATTTATTAGAACGGTTGTAGGGTGGCTGCAAAGAACCTTGTCTTGGGCAGCCAAGGAGACACTAATTAAATCCGTGACTTCAGCTTTGTCATTACATGTCATGTCCTATTTCAAACTCCCTCTCTCTGTCGAATCTTAAACAGACATGTAGCCAGGTTTTGGTGGAGATTCGAGGCTGGCCGTTACCAGATTCGTTGGATGTCCTTGCCAAATATGTGATGAAGTAAACATGATGGTGGAATGGGGTTTCAACAATTTGGGCGTTTTAATCAGGCACTCTTGGCCAAGATTGGATGTCGTATCCTAAAATAACCCAGTCGCTCCATGCCTAGGTTTACAAATGGAAATATTTTCCAACGGGTTCATTCCTCACCGCAACTTCGCGATCTTGTCCATCTTGGGAATGACAGAGTATCATGTATGGATGACAGTTGTTAGTGAAAGGGCTTCGGTGGCAGATTGGCAATAGGAGGCTGGCTTCATTGCTTCATTCTAATTGGATTCCTCGGTTACACCCTCATACCCCCCGTATATAATCCCCAGGTGTTACCAGAGAGTGGTAATCTTAAGGTGGCATATGTGATTTGCCAAAGGGAGGGGTGATGGTGTGATAGTAAAGTCAGCTAGTGGTTTGATTTGGATACCCGTCGTGTCATCAAAGCAATCCCTCTTCCTCATCAGAATATTGAGAATAGGCTGATCTGGCATGATAGGTGATAACGATGTAATTCCACGTATTTGCACCCCTAGTTCTTATCCGTTTGAGGGGCATATTCGTGTATTTTTGGCCTATTTTACGCCGGGTTGTGCTACTTTGTCATATTTTAGGTCCCAGGCGTCAAAGGAAAGGCTAAGCACGAGTTTCGGGGCATTCGGAAGTCATTCGGTCGAGCTGGAGCCAAAACACGGGCACACCTAAATAAGAACACGGCCGTGTTCCTAGACCGTGCTTTTACTGCCGAGACTTGATCTGAGTTTGGCAAACACTAGCTCAAAACACGGGCAGGGCTGAGACAAAACACGGCCGTGTCCACCAAAATATGGATTTTCACTGTTAAATCGACCTACCATCTAGCTGTCCTGTTGGATAAACAGGTTGGTCGATGGCGTCCCACGACGAGTTGGATGGATAGGCCTAGTTGGATACGTTTGTGGGGAACCCAGATTCCAAACCAAATTGATGGTGTTTTTATGGCAAATATTCCACCAGATCCTCCCAACGACGGAAGCTCTTATTGAGAAAGCGGTATATGTGCTTCCTAGGTGTCCAGTTTGTTGGGCGGAGTCGAAAATAATGGAACACCTATTTCTTGATTGCCCGGTGGCTAGGGCTATATGAGATCATTCTTGTCTTGAATATCTTGGGCAAGGTTTGCCTCGTCACATTTTTTTGCTCTTCCTAAAAAGGTTAATGTTACTTATACATCAACCACAACTGTTTATGGTGGTTGTTGCGGTCCTTTGGAGGATCTGGCGGACAAAAAATTGAGTTATCTTCGAGAGAAAAAAATATGAGATCCCAGCTTTGATGCGACAATTTCATCAACAACATCAGGAGTGGGTTAGTTTGCCTACTAACAGCATTGTGCGGTCCACCCATCCCACAATTGAGTTACTTGAGTGGTGGGAACCCTAATTCAGTAGTCTGCATGTGGGATGCGGCGACGAAGAGTGAGTCCTACTCTATAGGGGGAATGATTATAAAAACGAAGATGGGAGGGTCCTTTGGGCGAAAGATGTGCAATTTGCTGAGATTGATGATCCTATAGTAGTCGAGCTTCTGGTTCTCTGGAGGCCATTCTATGGTGTTTGGCAAACGGTTTCATGGAGGCGAGATTGGAAGGCGATGCCAAAGTGATCATTGACAAAATAAACCATGTTGATGTCCGTCATAATCGAACGGGGGCCATTCTAGAGGAAATCTTGCACTGTTTGGCTGTTCACATAGGGGCTTAATGTGCGATTTGTAGGTTGGAGTAATAATATGGTATCCCATTTGGTGGCTAGAAAGGCTCTTTCATTGTAGCTAACTATGTATCGTATCTTTGATTTTATAACCTGACTTCATTCCAGGATGTAATGATCTATCATTTCAATCAGGGGCGGACGCACGGAGGTTTAGGGGTGTCTCGGGACACCCCTAAATTTTGGGGAAACGATTATTCATAGGTTATAATTGGTAAAAAAATTATATCTATGCATAGGTTGGAGTAATTTATGCATAGGTAAAAAATTTATAATTGGTAGTGATGGACACCCCTGAAATTTGAAAAAAATGATTATTCTAATGTCATTTTTTAAATTTGTGTATGGGAATATAAGTGATAGGTTGGGTAATTCAAACCTAGAGCACTATTATTATTAACAAACTTAATTTCCATTAAACTACAACTCATTTGTTGTTTGATTTTGAACACTGTATCATAGTAAAATGCCATTCCCTTTTTCTAATTATTTTCAAAACATAGCAATTCAACTAATTTCAACCTACCCTTAATTTGTATTGATTTTATGGTTGTACGACAAGTGTTGAAAGATTCTTTCAGCTTTGGGTTACATAAAAAACGAGTACAAATCGAATATGTGATAAGTTCGTGAGTGATTGTCTAAAAGAGTATATAGAGACAATTTTTTTAGCACAGACACCAAGTGTATTCTAGAATTATTTCAGAATATGAAAACACATAATGGATTTTTTAACCTCTACGAGTAAGATATTCTAATTTAATATTTTATTTTTATTAATTATTTTATTTTACTAAATTTATTTTTTAAAAGAGGACACCCCTATGAAAAATTTATGGGTCCGCCACTGATTTCAATCAATATGTAAGATTAGCTTTTGTAAAAAAAAAAGATGACTTTTCTCTTTTCTATAGAAACTAAATCACATGGTTGGACAGTAACTTTTGACTTCATTGTTTGGTTTATTTCCTCATAAGTTTAGCTCACATGGAATTAAATTTTTGCCTTGAAATTATAATTTTATATTTAGTTTTGTTGCTTTAAGTTTTCACTAAGTTGTTGAATTGTCTTAATTTTTTTATAATTATAAGGGACATATTTGAGTAAAAGATGAATATGTAATTAAGAGAAAAGAGAATTATCCAACCAATCGGCCGAGCCAAAATCTAGTATAAACTATTATAGTGCTAGCTTTTGACCCATAAAGATAAGACGGTACTATGAGAAAATAGAGCTCTTACAACACCTCGATTGCAACACTATTTAAAAGTGTTATGTTAGATATCTATTGACAAATCTTTCTTTTGGAGTTGCAAATTAGATCGTATACACAGCCCAAATTAGTTATGTGTTGCATCTTCTCTATTATATGCAACACATATTTTGTATTGTTGCTTATTCATATAGTTTATGCAACATATTAGCAAATTAGTTGCAAAATATCATGAGGGGTAATTTCATCTATGAACTTTTTATCTATGAAAAATCTTTTATCGATCTGTGCAAGTAAATATTTTGGTAAAAGTGAACACATACTTCAAATTGAAAGGGATTTATCATGGTTTACGAGAAAGTGTATCTAAGGGGTGAGATTTAAAGCCAATTTATTTTTCGTTTAATCTATCCACTGTAATATATTTTTGGAAGGAAAAAATTCAGACATTTCTTATCAGTCTTTATCTTATGGTATTGGTTGGTATTAAATAAGACCATATCATACGGTATGAACATACCAGACTGTAGGATAGTTGAATCTTCTCTATTATATGCAACACATATTTTGTATTGTTGCTTATTCGTATAGTTTATGCAACATATTAGCAAATTAGTTGCAAAATATCATGAGGGGTAATTTCATCTGTGAACTTTTTATCTATGAAAAATCTTTTCTCGATCTGTGCAAGTAAATATTTTGGTAAAAGTGAACACATACTTCAAATTGAAAGGGATTTATCATGGTTTACGAGAAAGTGTATCTAAGGGGTGAGATTTAAAGCCAATTTATTTTTCGTTTAATCTATCCACTGTAATATTTTTTGGAAGGAAAAAATTCAGACATTTATTATCAGTCTTTATCTTATGGTATTGGTTGGTATTAAATAAGATCATATCATACGGTATGAACATACCTGACTGTAGGATAGTTAAATAAATGATATTTGAAATATACAACTTTCATTTACATTCAACATTGTTTACCACCAATTACCATCGGATACCAGGGTGGTATAGGGTGCTCTTTTTTGGTCCTGTATTTTTCTCCGAAAATTTGTAGATCCATTATATCATGATGAACTCATTCCTTCTGTGCAAATAGTTTCAAAAACGAATTAAAAACAAAAGTGTTACCATATAGTATGGAGTTGGTAACGAGAGGTCTGAATTTTTTTCTTAAAAAATATTAAAATGGATCTCATTCTTCTAGATCACAACGAACTCGTTTCATCTGTGCCAAAAAAATCCAAGTTAGAACAGAGAAGATAAAATCCGATTAAAAAACTAAGGAAAATAAAATGTTTTTAATTTCCAACTCTTAGATACACTTTCATACCATATGGTATGCTCTTATTTAATACCAATCACTACCATATGGTATAGACTGGTAATAAATGACAATTTTTTTGTTCCAAAAATTATATAAAGTGTATATAATTTTGAAAAGCACAATTAACCTGTTTTATCTTTGCAAAAAAATTAAATTTCAACTTAAAAAGAGAGATAAATTGTACATTAAAAATTAAAGGGGAAAAGGTTAGAGGCCTTCCATAAGTGGCAGGGGGCGCTGATGTAGCAACGACTGATTGGGTTATGCAAAATTACTCACCATAGAATTACTCACCTGATCTGCTCCACTTCACCACTGCCTGGAAGGTTACATACTCTTCTCTTTTTTAGCCGCTCACCAAAATTCACCAAGAGCAACAAGCATTTTTTTTCTTTCTTTACAGAAATACTATAAAAGACAACGTGTGCCTCTCTTGTTGACTGATTCAATATATAACTTTGGTTTTATGTTTTGACAACAACAAACACTGGTTGTGTCACTTATACAAGTAGAAGAAAGAGATGACTAGACTCCGACAATGATACATAAGAGACACACTCGAGGTGTCCTGAGAATGAATACGAATCGGATGAGAAGCATATGGATGTAGAAATATAGGAGAATGATTTTCATTTGTACCATCCTATGAAATTGATTCGTCACCATGGGGTTGTATATGTGACATTATAAATCCTCACAAATATTAACTTAAGTGACAACCAAACCGGACCTAGATCATCCATTGAATTTCAAAAACACTATTCAAAAAAATAATTTCAAAAACACTATTTGTGACAATTTTATGGCCACCCATGACGAAGGTTTGTGACAATTAAACATGTCACCTTTGTTATTTACATGTCGTCACTAACTCGTCAAAAAAATTATCACTATTAACGAAAACATTGTCTCACAAATATTAGTATTTGTAACAAACAAAATTGTTACAATTGAGATAGTCATTTGTGACAATTTGGACTCATCACATATAAAATTTAAAAGTTTTAGAAAATTGAAAAAATCATTGTTTATAGGGTTAATACCTTAGTTTGGCCCGAACTATACACATACTTTCTACTTTGTTCAAGACAACTCAGACCGCCCCTTAGTCATCATCAAATGACAAGAGGGAGTAGAAAAGGTGGAAGACATAATCTCTTAGGATGAATGAGTGCTTCAACCCATACCACCATCGAAGACCAAAACCACAACAAAACTGGTCGTGGAGCACTTCAACATAGGGTAAGATTGCATTGACACTAGTGACCCTAATATTCCTCCGGGTTGCTTCTATGTAAAACGTGGATATGAATGAAGGATAAAGAATTAAAAGTGGTGGAAGAGCAAGAAGAACCTGATTGTCTACCTAGAGAAGACCTTGCTCATGGCCACATCCTTGCCCCATTTGAACAAAAAGAATACTTCAAAGAAGGGAGTTCGGATAAGGTGTTTGTGGATCAAGAGGAAAATCAAGAAGAGTATGAACTTTCACAAATTTGGAAAGGCTTTATTTAAGAGTTAAGAGAAAAAGTTGAAGAAGGGGGTTATGAATGCTTGTAGAATATCCGGTTTGATTAACTGATGCACCTTAGTTTACATTGAGCTATTATGATTATTTGTGTTTTTTTGGGGACATGCAAAGTTCAAGTATGGGGTATTCTGATAACACTCCACTTATAGTGTTTATCACTCTCATATTTGATACATTTTCCGCTTCTATCAATGTATCTTCAGGATTTTCTTACATAATTTCCTATGAGTATCATAACTATTTAATCAATGAGCTATTATTATACCTAGATTAAGTTTTTGTATCTTTTTATGTCTTTTTTATATATCTTTGTGCCTTTTAAGGTAAAACACAGCCTTGGATACTTTGGATCAAAGCTTGGATGATTGTTGATGACTCGATATTTGCACATGTTTTTCCCTTTGTTTCTTGATTGTTTGAGCTTTAATTATCGTGTCTTTGGCCTATTTTACGCTAGGTTGTGTTCCTTTATCACATTTCAGGTCCTAGCACATAAAGTGAAGCATAGGCGCAAGTTTCAAGTCAATTAGAGATCAATTGGCGATTAGGGAGAAGAAACTCGGGCATGACCTGAAGAAGAATGGATTTCTACCTCACTTTATGGACAAAGAATCATGCAAGCTTATCATGAAAATAAAGAGGACGAGAATACGAGCATCTGGGATCAAACGGCGACTG